CAAAGTGTCCTTCCATCATCTACGAAATATTGCCAAACTCCGCCCCTCCCTCTCACAGACAGAGAAATTGGTACATGCCTTTGTCTCCTCCAGGCTGGACTACTGCAATGCCCTCCTTGTCGGGATCCCTGGTAAGAGCCTGCTGAAGCTCCAGCACATCCAGAACTGTGCAGCCAGGATCCTGACGAGGAGGCGCAAGTATGACCACATCACCCCTGTCCTCCAGTCTCTTCATTGGCTGCCCATCCATTACAGAATCCACTATAAAATCTGCCTCCTCACATACCAATGTGTCCATGGAACAGCCCCGACATACCTCACTGAGCTACTCCACACACCACCACAAGGCGCTTACGGTCCACTTCCACCCATACTCTTCACCAGCCCGTGACCAAGCTCTCCACAATGGGAGATAGGGCCTTTAAGGCAGTTGCCCCTGGACTCTGGAACGCCCTGCCAGAGACCCTGAGGGCTCCCCAGAGTGTTGAGGCCTTTAAAAAAGGCCTGAAAACACATTTATTTAAAAAGGCCTTTTAGTTTGTTTTTGCTCTTGTGCTTGCTTTGTTTTACTATGTCATGTTCATTTTGTTTTATCTGATTTTAATTTACCTGTTGTAGCACTTTGAGGTTTCTTTGAAATGTAAAGTGCAATATAAATAAAATGTATTATTATTATTATTATTGTTAGTGTTTTCATCCCCTGTCTTTGTGTAAACAAAAGGCCAATCCGATACAAAACTCTATTATATTACTGCTGCTGTGTCTCTGTGTAAACAGCACATTAAGCCCAAAATGATTATGAGAAATGTGTACTTTGTTCCATGGGAAACCTGCCAGAGTTCATGAGTGTGATTCCTTAACCTCCTGAGGTGCACTGCGACTTAAGACAGACTTTTTTTGAAAGTCTCAAGTTTCTTTTGACCCTTTTCTATCAACACTTTCTTTCTTCCTCTTGGTGAAAAGTTGACACAAGTCCAAACCACACAGCAACCTTCCTAATTGCTGCCTTAACACGGGTCTGCGGTGTGAGGACGGCTATAATATGAAATATGTTGAGAACTTTCATTTCCACTTAATTAATTGGATGTTGTTGTTCATCTCTGTAAACAGTTGCTGGCAGCTGGTTCCCCTTGCCCTCCTCTCTAACAGGGGTCAAAAGAGAGTATTTTCCAAACAAAATTAAGATTTATAATTGAATCAACATTAATCAGTCCACCTGTTTTTCTCCCCAAATCTCACACGTGGTTAATTAAGCAGCACTTTCTCCACAGAGGAACAACCGAGCAATGTACATAAAGCAACAGCTGCTGAAGCACACGGCGAGAGCTCCGACAATGTCGGCTAAAGACTCCTTATATGCTATCTTATAATTATTATTCATTCATGATGAAGTCAATAGGGGTGCAAACGTTTGGCCAACACAAACATCTGGTGACTGCAGTCTCACAGGAGCATATTTGAAAAATGTTTGCCGTAACATTTTGACCTCAAGATTAAACATATATTTAATGAGTAAATAGGTAAGTAAGCAAACTTTATTCAAGGAGCGACTTTCACAAACCTGAGTTTACAATCCAGTGACAACATATAAACATTAGAAATACATTTAAAGGGGCAGTATGTAATATATTCATTTGATTTACATCTACTTCTTTTGTTCGTGTTGCCAGATAGCAGGTCAACATGCACACATCATATTTGATCTTTTCTGAACCACAGTTTAAATTTGTTATTCCTATTTCATTATCACAGGAAGGTCTAAATATACACACAATGACCCAGGTCACTCCTCATTCAACAACATTTAGGGGCAGGGGTCTCTGTGCCTCATGGGCCGATGTGTTTTATCATTGCATTTCTTGTGTTTAAACGGTTTGATTCTCTGACCTGTGTTTGCGAATTGACAGCTTTGTAAAGACGTCTGAGAGAACTACTGTGGTGATTTAGGACGATACAAGAATACGTTGAATTGAATACATTAGCAGCGACAAATGGGTGGTTTTGAAACTCTTAAATCGTGGAATATTGTGTTCAGCTCAAAAGCACATAGTGTTAAACATAAATCATTGCTTTTATGCCGCTCACTCTCTTTGAGCTTGGTGTGGGTCTCCGCTGTTTCTACTGACGCCAAAACCTCCTGTTTGAACGCACATCAAACAGTCTGTGAGGATTTGGGAACTCAAAGCCCAACAGTGTCTGACAGAGGTTATTTTGACCTTCCTAAATTCAACATTGAAACTTTAATGTGCGTCTGGAGTGGGAAACGAGATGTGAAAAGCTCTGAATAATTTGCGAGTGAAAAACTAATGTTTGATCAAGGTTTTGTGTTGTATTGATCCATGCAGAACTTTTAGGAAACAAAACAAAAAGTGGCATGTACCCGCTTTATTTCAAATACTTAACATACTCAGAAATACTTGGTGGCAGCTGTACACTGTGGTGCAGTGTACAGCCATCCATTTTCTCCTGCTTTATCTGCGGCCTGGTCATGGAGGCAGCAGTCAGAACAGAGTTCTAAACTCCCTCCAGCTGATGTGGGGGAACAAGAATCGTTCCCAGGCCAGCTGAGAGACAGTGTGTCCTGGGTCTTCCCGTGCCTGGACCCGTGGGCTGCACTCCCTCCCTGCCTGGGAGCCTCCTCAGTCCTGGCCTCGGCCCTCCGCCTGAGTCCTGGGTCTACAGCCCATCCATCCAAGTGGATCCCTCCCTCAATGTGGGCCTCCCTGAGGTTTCTCATTTTCTCCCACTGAGTTATAAGACATTCTGTGCGTGTACTAGTAATGCTCTCCTCCCAAAGCAAACTGCTGCAAAACACTGTTGGAGCATGAAAGCAGCCGGTCACGTGACAAACATGTCAGTGTCTCGGACTCTGCTGCCACTGCTTTGCTTTGTTGAAATGTTCGTTGAAAAGGCTGCAGATCTATAAATAGCAGAAGATCTGCCTTATTTGGTGGTAGAAAACCCTGGATTTAAACAAATAATTATTGTACTTCAGCCGCACTACAGTACGCTACAATGTGCTGCAGGAAAAAGAAAATAAATTTAGAATCTAATGAGCCTGAAATCGAAAAACAAATGAAATCGAGAATTTGGAGAATTGTGACACCCCACTTAATTATATATTAATATAATGATATATATTAAGAATAAGACCGCAATAAGAAACTGCAGGGTGCTATAACCAACTTAGTCGACTTGACATAACTTGAGATTATTTCATTATTTTCAGACATTTGGGATCGTAAACCCTAAAAAATGAATTTGATTGAATTGAAATTAGAAGCTGTATTGAAATGAAATTATATCTATCATTATCCCAGTGGACCTGTGGAACCCAGGAGGACTAACAACCACTTGTGGAAGCTAATGGGGATCCAAAAAAAATAAATGAATAAATACATAAAAATCTATTTATTTTATAAGTAGTGTGTAAGTAATCTTTATTTATATACCGCCTTTCACAGACCAGAGTCACAAAGCGGTTTACAATTGTTATTATTTTTGGGCACTTGTCCTCTCACTCCACAGAAAGATGGGAGCGGGCTCGCCGAACAGGAGGCGCATGCCAGACCTATTGTACATATTTTTAGTGGTAGGGGAAACCGGAGTACCCGGAGGAAACCTACGCAGACACGGGGAGAACATGCAAACTCCACTCAGAAAGGCCCTGGTCCGACCGGGATTCGAACCCAGGACCTTCTTGCTGAGATTTTGAGATAAATACGGGTTCCTGCTTTAGTGATTATTTGGCGGTGGATAGTTTTTCCACCCACTGGTGTGGCTCTGGCTGCAGGCTGGAGATATCCTGTAATCCTTGAGATCCTCAGTCGACTCTTTTCCCTGGATTGATTTGGGAAAGTCTGCAACATTTAAACATTCAGGTCGACCCGATGCTCACATTTCATCTGTTATGCTTCATAATGATAGACTTGACCTTCTCTGATTGATCGGCCCCACTGGCTGAACGCACACAGACATCTGAATAAGTCCAATTGCCTCAATACTAAACTTGATTTTGAAAATATTTTGACCAAAACAAGCGGTGGAAGTGTTCTGGAACATGGTCTTATTCTCTCCATCCGTCGTCCTCACTCAGAAGGCGTTCCCTGACCAGAGATCGTGCCTCCAGCAGGTCTTACTCTGTATGTGGTGATTGTGTGACATTAGTTGTGTTACTTCTGAAGTGAAAAAACACACAATCATCTCATGAATGATTTTATGTTTGTTTCTTTCATCACACTTATATTATGATTATTTCCGGTCTCTCACTTGTACACTGCATTGTCACTTTCTAAGAGAATACACAGTGTTATTTTTCAGCCACACCTTTAGTTCACAATGTTCAAAGATATAATTCCAGCAACAATTATTTGTGCAAAGACAAAAGCAAATGAATGGAAGATAAAAATGTCAATATCTTAAGGGGCAGTCTGAACTATTGTTTCTGCTCCGTATCTTGTTAATATTATATTATTAATTATTAATTTGAAGTGCTGTACTTGAGGGATGGAGTTGGAGTATTTAGTACAGCTGTGTAGAAAATAAGTTGCTTTGTCCACATGTAAGTCACACTGAAATATAAGTCACAGGTTCTCGTGTTGTTTAACACTTAAAAATAGCTGATGGATGATAGACGACAGTTTTAACTGATCACATGATTTAATGATGAGGTGTTTTAACACACGACTGATGATCAAACAGTCTCTTTTCACATTAGACTTCATCACTACTAAGCTGGAGTCAAAATAAGTCCTGTTTATTTCCCCTTTCACTTCCTCACTACGGCCGTCTCTGCTGTTCACATAAACACTCTGAAGCAGGAATGGAGATGAGAACAACTGCTGGAGCCTTGTTCAACCTTGTTTCTTCACTCTAGGGGGAGCTCTAGCACAGTTAGAAATGCATGGATAAGCCACATCTCTACGTCGGTCTGGACGTCATCTCCAAAGCTCCAACAATTAGTTATGAAACAGTTAGTAATTATTTGCATTTTTTTACAGATCTTCATCTTTGAGAACAACATTTATTTCCGCTCCAAAGTGGAGAGTCGCTCCATTCGTCTGGTGTCCACTGGAAAAGAAGGCGTGATCTTCAACGGCCTCAGTGACTGGCTGTATGAAGGTAACATTGTGTTTATGTCTTTAATGGCAGGTTATAAAGCACTGCACATTACAGTTTATATTCAATTGTAAAGTATAGACTTCTGCAGGAGGTCTGTTTTATAGATTTCGGAATATGCCACAATTTCAGCACTGTATAACTTTTTAGTGCCACCTTTTTCAGACAAAGTGAGTTTATTTTATATTCATCACTCAACAAGACCAGATCATTTGTTCTGCGATTCCATCTCTACGTCTATATCACTGAAAACAATCATGCTATTTACAAACATACAAACAACGTACTGGTATTGCCAAACCTTTCCTATCACCTAACAATGAGTATAAAATGTTCTCCAAATGCGTCAAAAAGGTGAGATGAAAAAAAAAAGTCTGCTGTTCCGACTGAAAAGTTGTGAACAAACTAGCACAAAACATTCTGCCTTCATCTTATTAGAAAAGACGTTAACTTTTCCATTCTTGTAAGTTTTACCAGGGATAAGAGTTGACAGGAGGGCGACACGGTGGCTGAGTGGAGTTTGCATGTTCTCCCTGTGCCTGCGTAGGTTTCCTCAGAGTGCTCCGGTTTCCTCCGTGTGCTCCTGTTTCCTCTACCCCTAAAAACATGCACACATGAATCCTCCAGGTCTGGTTGTCCTGACCAAGCCCAGCACCAACATCCGGAGATGGGTACCCACTCCTGATAGTCGCCCTAGTGGCATCAGGATGGGTCAAATGCAGAGGATGAATAGCTCTACGGGGACCTGCACTTGAAAATAAAGTAGAGCCATGAAGTTGTTCAGTTTGTGGATTTCATTACAAGATAGATAGTGTGTGTATGGCATTCACAGAGACTACATTTGACTTTAGAAAAGGCCCAAACCAGTCCGTACACTCGATCATTCTAAAACGCCTCCGCTCATTAGCACACATTAGACACATTAGTCCCTTTTTCACGCAGAGTCCAGAGTTCTGTTAATACATCCTTCAGTTTCACTTGGAGCTCAGAGCGTCTGGAGAGTAGTGTGAAAGTGCCTATTGACTCGAGCGCTTCAAACGGGCTGTAGTCACATGACCAGGGCTGCTCATTAAGTCCACGCAGCAGACGCAGTAATTACAGCAGACACCCCCGTCCCTGCGCTCTCCTCTCATCACGCCACAATTAAACACAGGAGCAAGGTCCACAGCGGCTCCGCCACGGTCAGAGAGAAGATTCACTTATGTCTGTGCTTAATCTGAAACAGTGTGTGGGAATCAAATGAGACACATGATACAAATTAGACTTCCCTGAGCTTTTAACCCATGTCACAACATTTTTACCTCATCAAAACAGACCTGGAGTTGTTTTTTAGGTCCATCCATGCTAATATCAGGTACTTCTGGCACAAACATGTAGCTCCGCCCCTTCTGTCTGAGATCTCCTGTGTCATTGCACCACTATGACATCACACTCAGAGCAGTTTTCTTTCTTTTAAAACAGTAGCTGTCATGCATACGTTTTGGCAGTTTCTTAATTTCTTAACAATCATGATCTGCGGACGATGGCCTTCACAAATAGCACAAATAGCTTTTATCCTCAGGTTGCGCGTCTGGAATGGCGCTCATGGTCATGAAAAAAGCGGTGTAACCTCGCACTACTTCTGAAAAATAAAACACGACAGGTCAGACCGCTGCCTTGACTCTTATATTCCACAGTTGAAAAGGGAACAAATGTCACCCTTAAGACTTGTTTCCTTTATTCTTGGTATTGTCTTCTTTATATACCATTTCATTATGTAAAACATGACATTTCAACCTAGATGTGGTTGAGATAAAAGAATAGAGAGCAGAGTTAGTGAATGGCTCCGTGAATAATGAGGGACTGTAGATAGTAACGAGGGAAGAGGAACAGAGTGTCTTGGTAGAAGTGTGTTCTGATTCAAAAAGCTTATTTATGGTAATTGTGTTATGAGAGTGTGTGGTGTTCAGTCATTCTTGGCTCTGGATATATTTGGCACAACAGCTGCTCTTCAAAGACATGGCAATCCAGGCAGATACAGGATGTTTTTGACTCGATCGCAGTGTGGTGATGAAAAGGGTCAAAATAAAGGAGTCTGAGGCGGTCTGTTGAAGTGAAAATATCTATAATTTATTAAAAATGGACTGCTATTAATAAGGACTTTTATACTGTATATTTTTTCACCTCTCGATCACCACACTACGATCGAGTCAAACACGTCCTGTATCTGCTTAGAAGAAATGTGATGACAAAAAATAAATAACGTCTATAAAATATCTTGAATTTATTTTTGTACATCCAGCTAATTCTGAATATCAAATTTTTTTCTTTTTTTTAATCACATTTTTGTTGTTAACTGGTATTTTATTGTTTTTATTATTAATATTACATTTGTATTGTTTTTACTTTGTGCATATTGTTTTACTTCTATTGTTTTCTTTTTTTTTTAAACATAAGGCTGGCAAACTTACATATTTTATCTCTGTGTAGCACTTTGGGGACTTGTTTTATAAAATGTCCTTTATAAATAGAGTGGAATATGGTCTGGCTACTGCAATGCTACAAACATACATTTACATTTTTGCATACGTTTTTTTTTTTTTAAGTTTAGCTAAAATGAGCAGGCTTAGAATACTAATTTGAGTATTTGTTTCCTTTTGCTGTGTGCCGACATCACTGCAGCCGGCTCCAGCTCCTTTCATATCAAACCAAATGGTTGTTAGTGGAGCAGCTTTTTGGATCCAGATAAGACGAACACGGACATGATACAAAACAAGGCGTTCTTCCTCTTTTAGACCACACCGCTGCCTTATCAGGAACACAGTGAGCGCAGAAACATAATGCTGGGATCAGACAAGGCCAAAAACAACGGTTACTTTAATTTTATTTTACCACGTCTTATCACTGCATTAGCTTCGTGACGAATAAAAGCAGTTTCATTCTTCAAATCCAATATCCAATCCACCCCATTTAAACATTAATCAGAGCGATATTGGAAGGACTGACCCTCTGACATGTATTTATGGGCTGCAGCAGACCGCCTGGTAATTTTCACTCATCTTTTATTGACCGGATAAATCTTTCACAAAGAGATTAAAAAACACTATCTCCTTTCATAACAGTGAAATATGGAGCCCACTCTAATAGTAAAGGCCTCATGGAGTAGAGGGTGCAAAGGTGAGGCTGGATGTTGTTCTGAAAGTGTAGACTCATTTGTGTTGTTTAACTTTATGAATGGAACCTTTTTGAACAATGAAATATGTTTAGTGATGTTAAAAAACACAGTAAGAAGATGGAAAATACTGCTGAGTGTAGAATCTGGTGATCTATGACTTTAAATACATTTTCTTGGTGTATTATTTTTGTCAGTTTTAGATTTTCTACTGCAAAAAGTGATGTAAAGTCAAAAAATGTCAAATTGGGCAAAATGTATCTTAATTTGAGCACATTCTGAATGCCAAATAATAAGTTTTATAAATGTACAAGAAATGCCTCCCTTGAAATGAGGAAATGAAGCAACAGTTCTGGAAAAGAAAAATCTTTAAAAACTAAATCTCTTTGTCCAATTGGAAAATGTTGTTTTAACAAAGTCAGAATGAACTCAAATTATGATAATAACATCTCACCTCGTATTTGATCATTTTTGGCATTGTAGGGTCTCATTGAAAGATATCACTCATCTTTTTGGTGTGTTATCATGTGCTCAGACTTCCCCCTCCCCAGACACTTTCTCCAGCTTGTTCCCAGGCTACAAAGACGTTCCTCCAGTGAGGTTCCAGAATAGATTCTTTAACTAATGGTTGTCTATTTTGCTCGGACAGTGAACACACTTCGCCAGATTGTCCCACACTCTTACTGTTTTACGCAACTGTGCCATCATTTCCCAGCTCCTCTCAACATGAGGGAGAAGCGGCTTTACTCCAAGCTCTTCTATCTCTGGGTAAGTGCCTAGTCACTCTGCAGAATATACCAATTTCTGCAATCTTGCCTTTAGAGTGATTACCCAAACAGTGTTTGGGTTTATATGTCGTTGTTCCAAGATGGCGTCCTATTCAAATCAATGGCTTGTGCTCTGTAGCGCATGGAACAGCCATTGGGGCCAAAAGATTGGTGGAATTTGCCAATGTTTTGGGCATCGTCTGGTCCTCCCGGTTCTGCGCAGTGGACAAGCTCCCATGATGCTTTGCGCTAAATACGCATTAGTGGCGCATATGCACATGCATAGAGGGGCTCGGCCGCTGTTTGATCAATCAGAGCGGCTGATCAGAGAAGGGGCCAAATGAGCAGAGTTTGTGGCAGTAAAGTGTGGATTTTTAGAAAACCGGAGGATTTAAGAAGAAAAAAAGTTCAGGATGACAAGGGACACTAAAATACGACTTTTATGAAAGCTGTAGGTTCTCTGTCAGCTGAGGTCAAGCTGATTTAGTTTGCATTGAGTTCTATGGGACATTTTTCTGGGTAGTCCGTGTGAATTTAGTCTGCAGTACCACGAGCGCCCTCTGTGCCCATCGGTGGGACGGTTCTAACTCAGTAATACTTTATCCAGATATTAGTATAGATCCATGGCCATGATGCACTAATTCTCCTTAATTTGCTTTAATATTTATGACCACATAGATTATTTAAAATATGTATTATTCATTTATTTATTAATTTCAAACCTGTACTTTCAACATACAGTAGTAACAACATACAAAGATACAAAGTTTGAGAAGGGGAATGACAAAGCAAAGGAGAATCCCATCTTACACATTTTCATTTATGGTTCAGCACTTCTCAGTCCAACCACCTCAATCCATTGTCTTTCATTACATGCGATGAGAGAAAGCATTTGGTGTAAATAATACAGCTTCTACATTACATTTCCTGGATCATATTAAGAAATGTCTCTTCCCTGTTCCTGCCAAATTGTTTTCTTAAAGCGTATATTGCTTGAGTAAACGTTGGCTCTGTTCCCAGTGTTGTTTTCAAATCGGTAGAGAATTTAGAAAAGACACCAGATTGCACTGTGTTTGCATTCATCA